TTAAACCTTACAAAGGTAAAAAATAAAACTGAAGAGAAATGAAGCACTAGCACTAATCTTCAGTTACATTGCACATCTGCTTCCCAGGGATAAGCATTCCGTAGTGCAACCATATTTTGCACTATTGAGACATACTGTAGTATTTGTGGGATTTGTGGAGCATTTTGATATTTTACATGCAGGTGAGCTGGTTGAATAATATTTTTGGAGTTTCCACTGTTATTATTGTGATTTTACAGTTTGTATTTCCCCTCTAGAAGATGAAATATTTTACCAGTAATCTGATAGAATTGCTGAAAGGTTATTGTCAACCTGATGGGACTGAGCTTAGGTTAATGACATAGTTAATTTAACAAACAACCATAGATGAGAAGAACTATTTGTAATTACCTTTACCTCTTGGTCCATATTCTGTAACAGACAACTAAACTAGTGAACTGTTGAAGCATGGTGCAATGATTGAGGACTTGTTTTCTCTTTAAAATATTTAATAGGGTTGATTTGGTTACTGTTTTGGTGCAATGATTAAGGATGATGTTGAGTGTTTGACTGAATTATCTCTATGTTTTATCTTTCCCTAATTCCCTTCTTTTGAGTACTGCACCTATCTAGTCTGTTAGTGGACCTTTATGCACAGTTTTTCTACTTGTTAAATTTTTTCCTTAAAAAAGTTATAAGAATCATGATGATAGTTGTGATTTTTCTTAGCTACTGCAGTTTGTTTTTTCAAGTTTCCATATAGCAGTGTTAACTTTGGCTGGAATGTCCTTTATGAAATGGAGGATTGGGTACTGTTCTATACTTTGATGTTGTCGGCAACTTTGATGTTGTCGGCAACTTTGATGATGACCCTGGATTTCTAGTCATTGCCTTCGTGAATTGTTACATAGCCAAATGTTGCTAAAATATTACTTATTTAGTAACCAGGTTACAATTTAAGTTGCTGAGTAAGATTCATGGGTGATTAATACATGAGGATTTCTTCACGTTTTGCCTTTCATTGGCTCATAGGTTCTCAGCTTTGTATCACATGTTGTTTCGTCATACCATGCACTGCTATAGCATGGTAAATTTGGAAATTGAATCCTAACGGTTAAGTTTCCTAATTCTAGTGGGTTCTTTTGGATGAAAATGTTATATATAATGTCTGTTTGCTGTTGGACCATCTTTCTGCCTTGTTCCCTCCTCATTTCTTTTTCTTTTTCAATATATCTTTTTTTCCTCATAATTAATTATTAGCATATAATATTTGTGGGGATGAATGAATGTAATTTGACATTATGATAATGGAAAAAACTGAGTTGATCTTTGCTGCTATGACTACTATGCTAGTTCATTTGGATAGATTGCTTCTGCAAGAGAAGACATTGAACATGTACACATGTGAATGCGTGTTAAAGAGTGAGAGAAAGATGGAGGGCGGGGGAATTATGTAGTTAGAATGAGTTAAAAGTCTAAAGGTTGTGTTACTATAGTTTTATAATTTCTTGCATTTTTGGGTATGTGGTATATCTTATTGGAGCATATCAATTTTGTAGGTCGCAGTATTTCTCATCCAGCGCAACTGGCATGCCTTGATCGGGAGAGCAATAAATGACAATGATATGCAGAAAGTTCTTCATTTCTTGAAGAATGATATGGTATATCTCTACTGGAATTGTCTGACTTGAAACCCTCTTCATTTACAATCATTCTTGAGAAGTTTGAGGGGTATAAAATTTATGCAGGTTGTAGATGCTTTAAATGATTGCAAGAGTGAGGTGATTGGTCCTGGGTTCTTCAGATTCAAGGCAGAGATTGGTGATTTTCTCACATCGACTTTTACTTTTGGTTGATTATTTTCAAAGATTAGTTTTCTCCATAATAATTTATATTCTGATATATTTTTGCAAATTTTTCTTCATCTCATCAGGTACAAGTATTTTAATTAGAAAACAAGAGATACATTTTACTAGCTCTCTTCCTGTCAGTAACATATCAATAATGCTATTGTGTTATGAACATTGATACGATGTTTTTCTTGCTGTAATTATGAAGAAATTTGTACCGAGTCCATACTTTGGGATTTATGATCATAAATAAGGGATGTTAGGTTACTAGCACGGAATTTATGCTAGATCTGGCCTGCTAAAATAAATAATTGGAATTTCTCTACCTTTTAACATTTATTTGTATTATTTGTATATGACACGTTAGTTCCATCTGTATTATTTGTTGAAGAGAGTCCAGGACATATTTGTTGGATATGGGGCTGAGGAGGATCAATGGGTTAATGTAAAGAATGCAGTACGAGAGAGATCATCCCATTTGAGCATTCTAAATGTAATAAGGTGACCATTGGATATATCATGTTGTGCTTGCAGGTGATTAATAGATGCACGCATTGTTCTTAAATCTCTCAATAATCTTCCATCTCTATGTTAATTTGCGTTTCTTTATGGAATTTAGGAGAGGAGAGATCAATCAGTTTACTATGATGCTCACGTCGTAAAGATTGATTGGAAAATGCAAGATATACGAAGGAGCAATGAAGACTAAATTCTAGTGAACAATATTTTTTTAAATTGAATGTGAAAGAACCTAAACTAAATTATAGAGAACGGTGTCAAACTACATTATATTTAATTTTAATGTTTATAAATTTTAATTTATTTTTGTTGTTAAGTATTTTTTTGCATAACTTGTGTCTTAATTAAAATGGATGGTTGTTAATTAGATAAAACTACCTGATATTAAATTTAGATGATGTAGAGCAGAAATGAAATATGTAAAATCAATTAATCTTAGCTAAAGAAAGGTATTTAGATACAAACGCCGCTATAGATCTACCCTTTTGCGGCGTTTTATATAAAAAACGCCGCTATAGATCTGTCCGTTTACGGCGTTTGTTCCAAAACGCCGCTATAGATATTGACCTTTTGCGACGTTTGTTCCAAAAAACGACACTATAGATCTAACGTTTTGCGGCGTTTGTTCCAAAAACATCGCTATAGGTCTGACCTTTTGCGGCGTTTGTATCCAAAAACGCCGCTATAGGTCTAACCTTTTGCGGCGTTTGTATCCAAAAACGCCGCTATAGATCTGACCTTTTGCGGCGTTTGTTAAAAAACGCCGCTATAGATATCGATCTTTTGCGGCGTTTGCTCCAAAAACGCCGCGATAGATCTTGACCTATTGCGGCGTTTTTTGTTCTCAAACGCCGCTAACTTTAGCGGCGCTTCTTACGGCGTTTTTCCTATCGCCGCTATAGAACAAAAAAAAACGCCGCTAAAACTCTTTTTTGCTATAGTGCTTGTGACCATCAGTTTGTTGCCCTTTAGTATGAAGGGTATTGATTACAGATATGGAACAAATTTTGCAAGGTTGTATAACTGGCTAGTTGTTGGCTTATTTCTGCTATAATTTGCATTTTATCTTATGTTTGTGCACTATACTATATGTGCGTGCTACAGCCTTCACGTTTTCAAGTGCATGATAAGTTCATATATATATATATATATATATATATATATATATACACACACACTGAAAAATTTTCAATTAATTAATATTTTTTGCTATAATTCTTTTCAATTCAGCAATGGTATGTAGTCTCAAAAACAATGGCCGAGGATTCTGCCTGGAAATTTTCAAAGGAGAAGGGAATTGACATGGTCGCCATAAACCCTGCTATGGTAATTGGCCCTCTTTTACAGCCAACACTTAATACCAGTGCTGCAGCAATTTTAAGCTTAATTAAAGGTATTTTTGGAAATTATTTTCTTTCTCAATTTTAATCTGGAGATTGATGCTTTGCTAGTTGCCTAATTACTTGGGAAAAAATAGTTGTGGAGAATGGTGAAGGTTGAATAATTTGACTTTCAGTAAAGACAGAGATCCGTTTCCTCTTGACAGCGACAATAAAGATTGAATAATGTGATTTTCCCACAAAGATAAGGTCACCGACGATGGTTTTGATGGTTGCTCTAGGGTGATTTTACAAAATTGAATAAATTGATTGCTCAAATCCTAAAGAAGTAAAAATTCTTAAAATGATTATAATTTTAATAAAAAAATATAATCTAATTATATTCCTAATAAAATTCCTATAAAATAATAATAAAAAATTAACCGTGAATAAGTCGTTATATTATTTCATATTTATTTAATAAGGACATTTTAATTAGTGGTGTGTATCGGTGTGTCACGTTAGTGGTGTACATCGATGTGTCACGTTAGTGATGTATTTCGGTGTGTGACATGTGCTTTAGACTCATCCATAAAATTAATACTTTATTTTTCCTATAATTTGTGTCTCATATTGATTATATACATAATTTTAGGAGATATATTTAATCAAGAAAAATAATAAAATTATCCTCAAAAAGTAATTGATAGATTTATTTTAATAAGTATAAAAGAGTGGAGCATAAAAGAGTAAAAAATATATAAGTGATGTTTTTTTTTAAAATTTTCTAATAGGATATTTTAAATGAGATAATTTTAAAAATCAAAAGAAACATATTTTGTGGGATAAAACAAGAATGTAAATTGTACATGACATAATCGTATATGTCACGGATAATAATATTTTAAATAATTATCAGAATTTAATGATTAAAATTAATCAAATACTTTAATTAATTCAATCCTATTTTTTTTAAGTTGGAACCTTCAAACATCCTTTAACTTCTTGTTTAAAGGATGCACAAGTCTTTAACCCTCAATAGAATCGGGCTGGAGCAATCTCTCGAAAATTTGTAGCTTCATTTTACAGTGGCCCGTCCAAAATAAATATTGGGGCAAGTAATTCAAACAGAACTCTCAAAACCTGTACTTCTTATTGGCTCAATATTAAGGTCAAAGGCATTTGCTGCCTTTACGTAGAGAGCGAAGCAGTGAGGATCAATTGGACGATGCAGGTACGAACACGATCCTCAATCATTTATAAAATAATATTCCATTTGAACAAGAATACAAAACTTTCTAGTAGCAACTAGCAACGGCCTTTGAATGCCCTTTAGGGACCCACCTTCCCAGTGTGGGATCCACCATCCATCGCCCACAAGCTGAAGCCATATGTTTCTCTTTAGTTCGCGGGTAAAACTGTAGAACCTCTCCTCACCACTTACCTCCCTCCATCACCCACCGTCGCCATCCGCCCCTGTTTCAAATTCACTCTTTCCCCATCATTTTCTTCCTCCAGTCTCTGTCTATTCTTTAAAACCTCCTTCTATAACTCAAATTTCCATTTCCCCAAAGAGAAAATAAAAATAAAAATAAATGAGCTTCTCTTACACCACCAGCCTCCGTATCACGCCCAACCGCTCCTCCGACCCCTTCTTTTTCTACCCTCGAAACTCTTTCCGTATCCGCGAATTTCGTGTTTTCAGACGACGACGCCGTTTCAAGCTCTCCCGCTCCAACCCCACTCTCCAAAGCCAATTCAATTTATCTTTCGATAACAACCTTTTCCAGAATCTTTCCTCCCTCTATTTTCTCGCTCCGGTTTTGGGTCTAACTTCCGGCCTCTCTCTTTATTTGTCGTCGCGGTTGAATTTAGCATCAGGAGGTCGAAAAAATGCCTGCGAAATCGGGGAGTGGGTTCTGTTCACCAGTCCGACGCCGTTTAACCGCTTCGTCGTCCTCCGATGCCCCTCTATATCGTTCGAAGGAAGTGAGCTGATGGAGGATGTGAACGAGAGGCTGGTGAAGGAAGATAGGCATTTCGTGAGGATAGATAGCGGAAGGATGATACGGGAGAGTAGAAACAGAGGAGAGGAGCTGAGTGAGTTGGAATACCAGAGAGTTTGTATAAACACGGAGGATGGCGGCGTCGTTTCAATTGATTGGCCGGCGAATTTAGACTTGAGCGAAGAACATGGATTGGACACGACGGTCCTGGTGGTCCCGGGAACGGCGGAGGGTAGTATGGACACGAAGGTCAAGGCGTTTGTTAAGGACGCGGTTATTTGTGGGTTTTTTCCGGTTGTTATGAATCCCAGAGGTTGCGCTAGCTCGCCACTCACCACTCCGCGGTAAGCTATTGAGTTCTGTTCTTTATAGCGAGTATATTTCTTTCCTTCTGTTTATTGTCATTCGTTTAAAATGTTTGTAATATGTTTGAAGTAAATGGGAATTGTTTACTTGAGAAAATCATATATTTTGACAGAAATTGAGAGCTAGGCTGCTCAAGAATTATCTAATATAAGCTAGGTGCTTTTATTTTTCCCTGGAAGTTCATTGAAAAGCCTTCTGGAATCACCCATACTTAATGACTTTTATTTATGTAGGTTGTTTACAGCTGCTGACAGTGATGATATCTCCACAGTTATACAATTCATCAGTAAGGCAAGACCATGGAACGCATTGATGGGTGTTGGCTGGGGATACGGTGCAAACATGTTGACAAAATACTTGGCGGAAGTTGGTGAGAAAACACCTTTGACAGCTGCGACTTGTATAGACAATCCTTTTGATTTGGAGGAGGCCACAAGATTGACTCCTTATCAGATCGCTCTAAATGAAAAACTCACTGGTGGACTTATAGATATTCTACGCTCTAATAAGGTTGGTTATCGCTTCAAAATTGCTTGTTGGCTTTTGTGTTTAGGTATACTTCATTATACATTGATCATTCAGTACTAATGCATTTGTTTCATGAATGATCTAGGAGCTATTTCAAGGCCGGGCAAAAGGGTTTGATGTGGAAAAGGCTTTATCGGCCAAATCTGTTCGTGACTTTGATAAGGCAATATCTATGATATCTTATGGCTTCGAGGACATAGAAAACTTTTACTCCAAATCTAGTTCGCGAAGCTTAGTTCACAATGTGAAGATTCCTGTTCTTTTTATACAGGTACCTTCTTGAACTTCTGATGCCAATGCTATATCACTTTTGAGGTACATAATTTACATGTCAAATTTCCAATTTATTGCACTCTTGCTTCAAAAAAAAATCATTTGTAAATGCTGAAAATGGACATTGTTAAATTTACCTATTTTAATGGTAAATATTGACCAAAGGTATTTTAATCTTGCCTTCTCGTATTGGATGATATATTTTAGGACTTGCCTTGCAATAGCTTGTATTTTTTCTGGTTCTGTCCTTTGCATGTTTGTACAGTGGCTCAGAACCTAACTACCCCTTTGGGAAAGGAGGAAACCTAGATGGTAAACCTAATATTTTGCGAGCTTTTCATTTTACAGAGTGATGATGGATCAGTTCCACTGTTCTCCATTCCACGTGGTTTGATTGCAGAAAATCCTTTTACCAGCCTACTTCTATGTTCTTGTTATTCATATAGAGCTACAGCATCTTGGTGCCAGCATCTTACTATTGAGGTAGCGTATTCATCTTCTCATCTGTGGTCCTTCAGTCGTGGATTTTTTACCCTGAACAATTTAAGGCATACAAAACTTACTTCATATTTCATGATAAGATGTTTCCATTTGCCAACTATATCCTGGTTATTGCAAGTCGTGCTAACCGGGCTTTAGTGACATGTTCTGCAGCATGTCATCGAACTTGATAAAGTTTCTCCATGACTGTTGCAATTGATTTTCCTCATTATTATCATTTGGTTTATATAGTGGCTTACTGCAGTGGAGCTTGGACTCCTAAAGGGTCGTCATCCTCTTCTAAAAGATGTTGATGTCACCATCAGTCCCTCAAAAGGTGTAGCTTTCACAGAAGGTAGGTTGACTGGTAAAGGAAGAAACACTAAGAAGCTTTTGGATCTTTCTAGATCAAATTCTATAAATGGCTATTCCGTTGGTCCTACAAGAGACATGTTAGAGGATGGTAGTACAGCTGCTAGCATGCACCTACAGTCCGGACAAGATTCACTCAAAGATGTGTCAGCAAAGAACAAACCTCTTGAAGGAGAGTTGGTCAAAGAGGAAGCTGTACCTGAAGATGGCAAAATAGGGCAAGTTTTACAAACTGCACAAGTAGTTATGAATATGCTTGATGTAACTATGCCCGGAACTTTGAAAGAAGCAGAGAAGCAGAAGGTAGAGATTATAAACATAGCAGTTTCTTCTTTTATCTTACATGTATTATCATTCTGGATTTAAAAAAATGTTCCTACATATTCATCAATTTTTAGCCTTCAGTTTGCTGTAGTTTGCATCAAGTATAATCTGAATTTTGAACAATCAAAATGATAAGCTAATGTTAAAGGACGGCTTCTGCACATGTGCTTGCGGGAAGGAAATATGTTAACTGTACAAGTTTTGTGATAAATAATATATTTCTTGAATGAACAATATAAATGTTTGGGGTCTTTTTGTATTTGTTGGACTTTCATTAATCAGTTTATGATTTTCCACAAGGGTTGTTGGCATCTATATTTGTTTTCCTTTTAAAAGTATTTATGGAAAATTAGCTTATATTATGTTATTTTCAAATTTTTATTATTTTCTGGTGTGGCATGCTTGGTTATCTAAGTATCTTTTTGAATCTGGTATGACTAAGAATTTGGAGATATGAACATTAGGTATTAAGAATTTGGGACATAAAATTTAGGTATGTTAAATGATCTTAATATATACATCCAGGTATTGGCTGCTGTTAATCAAGGAGAAACAGTTATGAAAGCTTTGCAAGATGCTGTTCCAGAAGATGTTCGTGAAAAACTCACGGGAGCTGTATCTGTTGTTATGCATTCTCAAGGCACGAACTTAAAACAGGGTATTGAGTGGATTCCCAAAATGCAATCAGGGTTTGAGTCAAAAGTCCAACAAAGTGCCAGTAAAGCTCATTCTACAGATGAGATAAAAAGAGCTCAGGATTTGGCAAATGGGATTGATAGCAATCAAGTTGGGTCGGAGAAAGCTATTGCTGGACAGGGATCAGAATCTCAGCCTTCAGACGATATGCAAAAGTCTGGGGATGTAGGTCAATCTCAATCAGCAAGTGGAAATCACGGTGATATTTCTTCTTCAGTCAAGAAGGATACAAATGGGACTGATACCAATCAAGTTGGCTCGGAGAAAGCTACTGCTGGACAGGGATCAGAATCTCAGCCTTTAGGCAATATGCACAAGTCCGGGGATATAGTTCAATCTCAACCAGCAAGTGGAGATTACAGTGATGTATCTTCTTCAGTCAAGAAGGATACAAATGAATCAGGAAAAACTCATGTAACTGATGATCTCAATAAGGAAAAGGCCTCTCTACATGCTGAATTGATTGAACCAGGATCAGAAACTAGTGCTAAGCCTAATTTGTCGACCCAAGCTGGGAAGGAAGGTTGCACGGACGAAATACTTAGTGGTGAATCCAAAGCAGACCAAGATGGTGTAGGCCAAACTGAAACGAAGGATGATAATAATTCCCAGCAAAAGGAAGAAAAAGTCGTGGATTCTTTGACCGACCAAAATAAAGTGGCTTCTGCAGGATCTTCTGAAGCCCAACCTGAGGAAGGGGAAAGGATTGATGATCAGAAGAAAGATGTGCAACGTTCATCTGATCAAAATAAGTCCACCGTCACTGATTCCAATACTACATCCTTCAGTGTTTCTCAAGCATTAGAGGCTCTGACAGGGATGGATGATTCCACCCAAGTGGCTGTTAACAGTGTGTTTGATGTGATAGAAAATATGATTGATCAACTTGAGGTGGAAAAAGAAAATGATTCGAATGTTGGACATGAGGTCAGGGCTGAGAATATTGAATCTCTGCCTGAGACGCAAGATACATCTGAAAAAAAAGGGGGCAGTGACAATGATAACAAATTAAGAGAAGCCGAAGGCAGTAAAAATAACCAGAGTATGATTTCTGATAGATTGTACGATCCTCCAACACATAATGATCATGGCAATGACACATCCTTGCATGATGACTCAACTAGTGAATGGCTGGGGAAGGAATCCCTAAAAAATCCTGTTTCATCTAAGGAGACTGGTAGTGATGATTCTCAGAGAAATACTGCAGGCGGTAGTTTGGATTTTCCAAGAAACAATGATCGTCTAGTTGGTCGTAAATCTCTGGCTGACTATTCAGATAGACCCATAAATAGCATTCCCTTGCACATAAATGCAAGTCAATATGAGGTCTTTCCATATAATAAATACTTCCATAGATATTTGCTTTCAAAACCATCTACCAAACCACTAGATGTAGATACAACTACTGCTTTATTGCTCGACTACTTTCCAGAAGGAGGTCAGTGGATGCTCTTGGAACAACCTGGAGAGAACAGAAATTCTACTGGTGATCTTACAACTCGTAGCAGAGAACCTGAGGCTCCAGCTGCTGAAGTGAGTGAAATGGAAAATTGCATTGAAACATCATATGAAATATTAGATACTGAAAGGCAGCATGACCCTGTTGGAGAGTTTGAGACTAGAGGCAATATGATTGGAAATGCTGGACAGGGATATAGGGGACTAGAGGAATTGATGCATCTGGTAAAAGTTACTATATTGGATTCTTTGAGGGTGGAAGTTGATCGTAGGCTGACTGCATCTGACATGGAAGAAATGGAATCTCAACTTGCTATAGATATTGAAACAATTGCATCTGCAGTGTCTCTGTGTATTAGAGATGATGAGAAGCTTAATGATTTTGAGGGCAAGGAGAATGTTATTGACAATACCTCAGCTAAAGTTGGTACTATTAATGGAGAGAATGTTATCAAGGCTATTTCATCAACTGTTCAGAGCACAAGTTATCTAAGGAGAGTGCTGCCGATAGGTATTATTATAGGATCTAGCTTAGCTGGTTTGAGGAAGTATTTTCATCTATCTACAGTTCACGGTGATGATCAAAGTGAAGTTAAAGCTGCTGAAAAAACGCAAATATCTCGGGGGGGAAATCATGGTAGGACTAGTATAACGGATATTGATCAATCACCTGTTCATAAAACTAGTCAAGATGGTACTCTGCATGGCCCCAGGAACAAAAAAGAGGTAGAAACCAGTTTGAAAAACCTAGACAAAGACGGTGTCATGGTTGGTGCTGTTACAGCTGCTCTGGGAGCGTCAGCTTTGCTAGCTCCACTGCCAAACCAGGTAATAGTTAAATTCTTTAGAATTTTTTATATATGCATTTATATCTTCTTCTTTTTTCTTCTTTTTTTGGCTGGTTAAGCTTATCTGCACAAGCTTGGCTTAGCAGTGTTATCCTTGTCTTGTTGCTAAAAAATAAACAAAATTTGGCAAGTAATAAGGGTTTCAACAATATTATTATCGACAAGGTGTTCTTTGAATTTTATTGTCATTAACTTCTAGGTATGAATGTTCCCTAAAAATTATGCTTATAATTACTTTATTTAATTGCTTCTAACTATCGTTTCATGTTTATGTCATGGTTTGATGCCCTAAGAACCTTTTTGACCTTGCTCCCTATCTTTCATGGTTAAATGACTAGTTTTAGTTTTTGCCAAAATGGTTAAAAGCCTGCTCACGTCATATCATTTTGCACAAGAGCATCCAAGGAAACGTTGAATTATTTTGAGTTAAAAGATTTTTAGTTCAAAAATTTTAATCTTCTATTGTTATATGTTTGCATGTTGATTGATCTTTATGTTCATTTTTCCTTATCCCGACTTAGTATTCTTCTCATTCTTGCTGGTGTATAAAAATGCAAAGGATCCCCTAAAAGAAAAGGGAACTGCAGAAAGTTCGTCCAAGACATTCAGGGAGAAAGTTCATCTGCATAAAGAGCTTGGAATTCCTGACGAAATAGTAGGCGACAAAAACCAAATCAACATGGTCAGTAATCTTGCGGAGAAAGCCTTATCAGTTGCTGGTCCTATTGTACCTACAAAGGAAGATGGTGAATTGGATCAAGAAAGGTCATTATCATATGCCTGATTTATGTTTCTGTTGCATTTGAAGTTCTGTTTGTTTGGTTTTCTTCAGAACTCTACTTACTCGCATCTTTGTCAGCAGATTGGTTGCTATGTTAGCAGATTTGGGACAAAGGGGTGGCATTTTGAGGCTATTTGGTAAAATTGCTTTGCTTTGGGGTGGTATACGTGCTTCAGTGAGTCTAACGGATAGGCTTATCACATTTCTCCGCATAGCTGAACGCCCCTTATACCAAAGGTATTAAGTGGCTAGAAACCTTTCCAACCCACCTTTGCATTCTGTTTGAATTTACGATTAAGAGTAACTTGAATCTATCTGTTCATGCTAGAGAATGTATGCTAAATGTTTTAAAACATTTTAACAGACATTCGTATACATTGCACATTTCTGATATATATCTGGGTGCTAGGTGCTGCCGTGCTGCTGTGCTGGTGGTTTTCTACTTTTTCCAGATAGATTTATGTTTGTCATCTATCTATTCTTGTTATACTGATGTTGTATTTTTCCTTTTGTGTCCTGCTTTCTTCCGACAGGATTCTTGGCTTTGTCAGCATGGGTCTTGTTCTGTGGTCGCCAGTTATTGTTCCATTGCTTCCAACTCTTGTGCAGAGCTGGACAAGAAATAATCCCTCCAAGTTTGCTGAACTTGTTTCCATTATTGGCTTGTACTATGCTCTCATGATACTTGTCATGTTATGGGGCAAAAGAATACGTGGTTATGAAAATCCACTTGAGCAATATGGACTGGATTCGACATCATCAATGGTATGGGTTCTAGCTGAAACCTCTTATTGAAGAAAAACCTAGTTGGAGGGCCATTTATATTTATCTCTTATGTTAGCTTCTGATTCCTACCATGCATGTTGGTTTATGTGTGAGGTTGTTGCTTTTCTGCACCTGGTCAATTAGGGGTTTGATTCTGGGAGGAAATCCTAAATTTAACAGTTATGTACAGCTGCTATTATCCTAGACTGAGTTAATATCTCTATTATTACTTGCAGATCAGAGGTTTTCTGACAGGTTTGATTGGAGGAGTCATGCTTGTTATGTTAATACAATCTGTAAATGTTTTGCTTGGCTGTGTCAGTTTGTCTGTGCCTTCAAATTTTCTTCCATCATGTGTGGATTTCACGACCAGGCTCAAAGTTTATGGGAAACTGCTTGTGATGGCTGTTCGAGGAATTGTTACCACTACTGGCATTGTGCTAATTGAAGAACTGGTTTTTAGATCATGGTTGTCTGATGAAATTGCTGCAGATTTTGGATATCATCGGGGAATTATCATATCTGGACTTGTATTTTCTTTGATCCAGAGGTAACATTCTCTTGTTCTCTTTAAAATCATTTCCCCTTTCTTCTTTTCGAGGTATTATTTTCTTTGTATTTTTAAATCTATCATTATTTTTAAAAAATAAAAATGTTACCAACAGTTGCCCCAATAATGGTTCAATGGGATTGCAGGTCTCTAATGGCGATACCCGGGTTATGGCTTTTATCTTTAGCTTTGTCAGGCATACGGCAAAGAAACGAGGGCAGCCTCTCAATTCCAACCGGATTTCGGACTGGGATAATGGCTTCAAGTATTGTTCTACAAACAAGTGGAATTCTAATTTATAAGGCGAACCATCCTCTCTGGATAACTAAAGGTTACCCCTTTCAACCTTTTAGTGGAGTAGTTGGTCTTGCATTTGCTTTAGTATTGGCAACCATTTTGTATCCGAGACAACGTCAGGAACTCGAGAACCAGAAAACTACCAAAGAAGAATAGATGGAGAGAGTTGTAGGGTTTAGAAGGGAAGCAGCCTTTGCCACAAAGTGCTGCATTTTTGGGTCAATAGTTTTGTGTAACGGTGCCTGTCTGCAGAGTCGATCTTCGTAATTTTCACGCTCTATGGGAGTGTTAGGTAAATATTTGTAAATGCATGTAAGGAGATATTTGAAGCAAAAAAGGAAAGAAAGAACAAAGTAGATATTGTGGCAACATTGTCTCGTCTTTATGTATAGTTTACGCTACAATGTCCTATCAGAAATGCCCTCCGAGCACAAGAGAAGCATGGCGATGGTATAGCAGTGTACAGTTTGTAAGTTTTGAAATGTCAATCTTGTAAAGGTATACAGAAATAATCTAATACGTATACGAGTGGTTCCTTTTTTTGGTCATGAAGTTCATTATTGAATATTTCATGTTTCATTTTTCTGAAATTTTTTGTAGGTTTGAAAATAAAATCAAAAGAAGAAGAAACTTAGAGAACAAGGCAATCTTTTGCTTGAATTGAGGGGCGCAAAACGCCATGTTCAAACAATGTCGGCAGAAAGAAAAAAAACAAAATGAAATACAATTCAAGTTCGGTAACAAAAATTATTATTCTTCGCAAAGGAGCCACCCTTTGTTGTTCATCTCCTTCAGTTTACTCTGCCAAAGGAACTGATTCAGCCTGTAACAATCACAAACCCGTAGCAATGTAGTTAGAACAAGAGACCTCGAAGAAACAAACACAAATGAGAATGTGAATGAGAAAATTACCAGCTTGCGGTACTTTAGAGCGTAGAACATCTCAAGATAAAGTCAGCTCTCTTGGCGTTCAAGGTTGGAGACATGCTTCCAGAATCCATACACTCCAGTGATGGTCAATAGTCTCTCGGAGAAGATCTTCCATGTATATCTGGTTTTTCCAACCATTTGTATTCCATTAGATCAAACTTAAAACGTATGCACAAATACGAAAAGCAAAACAAAATTTGTGAAATCTTACTTCTCCTCAATACGTTTCAAGCCTCCTTGTGAGATCTTGTCCCAGTGAGATGGATCTGCCTTGCACTTCTCGAAGAAATTGACTAGTATCTCAGCGGCATGATCACTGTGGTATGGATCAATGTTGAAACCGGATTTACTGTGGACAATAATCTCAGCTGGTCCACCATTGCAAGTTGCGAATGTTGGCAAACCACAAGTCATTGCCTCCACAACTGTCAACCCGAAAGCTTCATACAATGCAGGTTGTACAAATGCACCTTTGGTGTCACAGATGTAACGGTAAAGTTCTCCGTTACGGATACGGTTCATTTGGGATGATATCCATCTGAATTGGCCGTTTAAGTTGTACTTTTCGATCAGCTCGAACATCTTCTTCATTTCAGCTTTCTCTTCCGAATCTTTCGATTCCTTTCGCCTGTCTCCACCTACAACTACAAGGCTAACCAACTCTCGCAACTTTGCGTTCTTGCCATACCACTCTACAAGTCCAGTTAAATTCTTGACACGATCCAGCCTTGCCATTGTAAACAGAATTGGCTTGTTGCGGTCATTGAGCACACATCTACGGGTTATCATGGACAAAATGTTAGATCAGACAACAGATATTTTAATAATTGGTTTTGCTAGTGGAAAACTTGCATTTACAGGTGTTCTTCATTCTCAACTTTGCTGTAAAGAAGGTCTTCGATCTCGGGATGGAAATGCTTCAACCTCCTATTCTCCTCGGTGTAAGGGAAGTATATCTCCGTATCAGCACCGGGGGACGTTGAATTTGGGATCAAACACATCAATACCATGTACAACACGGTAGAGACCAGGAAGAGTGAAAGCAGTGTGGCTCTCGTATTGACCAACGGTGTCCTTGCTTTTATTACAGAATTATATCGAGTTAATGATCTTTATCCGACAAGTTAGAGAACAGGATTTCAATAAAATATCAAACCAAATACTTAGAACACAAATCATCTATGTATACCTTCCTGCAATTTCCTGGAAAGTACTGGTGATGATGACATCTGAATGGCTCATGGCAAAAAGATCAGCTGTAAATTGGCAGGAGAAATGGTATTTGTCTTCAAGTTTGTTCCAGTAGATATCTGAATCTGGATATTTCGTCTTCTCCAATGCATGGGCAATGGTACACTACACAAGGGCGAAAAACCAAGTCATTTTACCGAAATGTGATCGAATATATGAGAACATATAAGATCCTAGTAAATTAGTTTCTCACAAACCTGTGTGACACCCAATTTATGTGCGAGCAAGGAAGCGACGAAATTGCCATCGCTGTAGTTTCCAACTATCAGATCTCGCTTGCCTTGCAATTCTTTGGAAATTTCATGAGCAACATCCTGTGGAACAACAGATTTACTTGTAAATAAAACTGATGTGATCTACCATCATGGAAATGTACATGAGAAGATCACTGGTTCAAGTGGTTCACCTCGGTTTAAGTTTCCAAGTACGGCCAGACTTCGAATCTAGAGATCCATTTACGCACAATTCCCTTCTCTGTTCTGAAGGGTATTCGAAGAATATCCGAGTGCTCTGTTCCATATACTTTCTCGAGTCGTTGACCGCAAGTTGTTCCAACTACGTCAGGAAGAAGTCTAGTAATCTGAAAAAGGAACAAAGAAATTAGCATACAAGATAGTCAAATCATATACAGAAGAGGCCCCAAACAAATTATTTAAACTACTAGCAGTAATCAAGAGCTCTCACAATGAGAATGCGAGGGCTGATGTTGAGTCCTTGCTGCTTGATACGGAGGAGCATCTCATTCTCCAAAGCTCGATTTGATCCAAGATATAAACAACCTGGCCACCGGTGTCGGGGTACCCCAAAACATTGTCTTGAGCAAAGTATCCGTGGGGAGTAAGAATCACAACATTGAACACCGTCGGGATCCTCCCAAGGAACTTCTCAAGGGCGCAAGGGTCAGGTGCCTCAAGAAGATCCAAAATGAGTTGGATAATCTCGAGCATTTCAAAACTGAGTCATTTTCACCCAACATTTCGTACTCTCCACGAACAAGATCAAATAATATCAAAGTTAAAGGAAAAACTTAAGGATGACCTAAGGGAAGTTTACAAGCTAAAGACACAAGATGATTGTAAATTTAATGTTATCGAATAAACATTAACTTATAATAAGTCAGTGTCGAAGTTACTATAGTAATGAATGATCCCTAAAATATTATGTAATTTGTTATGCATGCATATATGTGTATTTGGTATTAAAATTAGTGAACAAATTAGAAATGCAAATTAGTGAAACCTGCTTAGAATTTATGCTCTAGACAGTAAATTTAAAAAATCACCATAAATTCTAAAAAAATGATTAAAGAATTATTTTTATATCTTTGGACTAGTATATTAGTTTAGTTTTGTTTAGAAGAAACGGAACCTACTTTCGAGGTGTATACAAAAAGATATGAATTTTTAATCGATGATAGGTTAGAAAACAGGACAACAAATTCTGCTCAAAACAAATTCTATCGGTCAACTTTGAAAATTTATCATAAATTGTACAAATTGAACTATAATGAGTGCCTTATATGAATAGATTCGTATTTGAGTCTAATTTCCATTGGTACAAACGGAATAATTTTTAAATGTGTATATTAATACAAGATAATATTTCTTTAAAAATAATACAAAATGTCAGAATATGATATTATGACATTTTTGGATTTAGCCTAATTAGAAGAAAATGATCAAGTTAAATCTTAATTAGGCTTATATTTTGACTTGCATATAAAGTCCCAAAAAGAATGCAATGCATGCATAATATTATACATAGATATTTTATACATTATTGAGTATGACTTGCGATAAATCTACCTTATTTATATTGACATGATATTTATGTCATATATCATATATTTGACATATTTTAAATATGTCAAAAGTTGAATATAAAATGCATTGATCACTGGTCGTTACATATGATGTTTATCATGAATGATATTTCGAGTATGAATTGTCCAATGTTAAATTATGAGAGTATATTTTGTCATGGATGAAAAAAAAGACTATATGTTTAAGTAAGTCATTGATGGACATGGTATAGTTGGTATATCATAGAGTCAAGAAGAGAACGTTAGAGAATTAGGGTCTGTGTTCAAGAGGGATGACCAAAGGCTTCAGCAATTGAGGGAGAAGGATGCTCGTGAGAAGGATCCTAATTTCATATCTGAGAGTTACTCTGAATGCTATCCTGATTATCAGGAGTACAACCGTGAGATTGTTTACAGTGACGATGAAGATGACTTGTCCAAAATGGATATGGGAGGACGAGTAAGCCTATTTGTCCACCTTAAATTGAATGCTGTTATTCATTTATTTTGGTTTTAGTTGACAGATTGGTGATGCTTATGCTGCTATTAAAATTATTTCAACCGGCAAAGGGTCGTCTTCATCGATGGGACTTTGAAACAGAGGAAGAGTGGGCAACATACAATGAGCACAAGGAAGCAATGCCAAAGGCTGCTTTCCAGTTTGGTGTGAATATGCAAGATGGACGGTAGACACGGAAGCAAAACAAGGACCAGAAGCTTAACAATGAGATACACAAGATTAACAAAATACTGGCAAGAAAGAAGATGGAGAAAGAGTGGTGGTGAAGGTGGAGATCTTAGCGATGATATACAACCGGAAAAGGAACTACTGATATCAGGTTAAAAATTGCCTTTACCGAAAAGGCTGAAAACCTCGTCTTTGATGGAGCAGACGTGTCAAAGAGTGCAAACTCGTGGGAAAATCATTTCAGAGCGAGGAGGTGTCAACCTACTCAGCTTGTAATAGTTGTTATTGTACAACTCTCGAGGTTGTTGCTTTGCCGACCACTGCCGGGATTTTGACATAATGGTGTTAGATATAAGAGTTTATTCTGAAATTATGTCTGATCAGAAACCAACAAAAATTTAACCCAGAATTAGAATTCAATTAATTTGTAATTTGTTCATTGGTAGAAGCTAATGAATGAAATGAGAGTTAGTGAGTTAACAAGTTAGTAATTTATATTTATTTGATTTTTTTAAAATTGAATTTATAAAACATGAGTCAAGTTAAATTGAATTGTTCGAGTTTTTATTTAAATTTAATTATAAATATTTATAAATTATGACATTAATTGATTTAAATTTAAACTATTTTTTATGATTATTTATAATATATCTATTAGTTTACTCATATACTATACATATAATATGTACAGTTGAGAGATTCATCTCAAACTTAAAAATTAATATTTTATAATTCAAATTATATTTGAAAATTTTCTAATGAAATCAAATCGGATATCAATCCAATAGATCGATATGCGAATCTGAGCTACCTATGTAAACCAATGGAGTTAGAACAATTAACCTGACGCTAATCAAATTATGGACT